AGATTAAACTACTCATCAGAAGCCCATGTAAACCAATTTGCTCTATTTCATCTGCTGCGTACACATAGATTTTGAACGTCACACATATATTTTTGGGGTTTTTGTCCCCTTTACATTTTTGATTCTTTTACATATTAAAGGATCTCAGCACCTTCCTCCACCACTTTGACATCACGTCACGATCCCATTTATTTTTAAGCATAAATGTGTTGAAATGAAGCTCGAAACTGAGGACAGAATGTGTGTTCGGAGGGCAGCAGAGTGAGGCGATGGAGAGAGGATTAAAGAGATTACAGCCAGGTGAAAGGTCACATGAACCAAGGACACATTTGAAAAAGACCGAAGCGGTGAGAGAGAGGCAGTATTTCAGAGGACAGAACTGTGTTAATGTGTTGTACCCTCCAGAGGTTCAGTCTTGTCACCAGTGAATGTCGGGATTTAATTATTTGAATATACAGTGCTGTGAGTGAATGGATTTAAATAAGCAAAATGTTGACTTTACTGCATGTTTAGCATCATGATGGGACCAGAGGGAGCTTGCCTTCTCTTAATAGGACATGAGCTTCGCTGAAAAATGAATTTGTAGATGTAGTAGTCTAGTATTGATGTATGATTGATGTATGAGGCTGATAAATCGCTCATTTACTTTACTATCGCTACTACACATGCTGTTCTAACCATCACCATCAATGTATGGTGGCGGCATCATCATCATATCACAAGCTTCACTCGCTTTAAGTCAAATATCAGGAAAAAATACAACTTTCTTGATGCAAAGTGCTGATGCTTGTTATCTATATTCCTATTATTAGGAATAACGATAAAAAGCAAATGTTTTCGAAATGTTGTATTTGTCGTTTCTGACCACAAAAAAGCGAAAAAAGCACCCTCAAGTGAAACTCAAAGTATAGTTCACACACAGGTAAAGGTGAAGAGTTAGTCATAAAAGCCAACACTGATAAAGGAAGTGCTTTATCGTGGTTTCATCCTCTACAGAACAAGGATGCGATTGGTCAACGAGGCGGGGTCGCGGCTCCGCAGGGCGGCCGAGGAGGAGGAGAAGGAGCCGCCGGCGCCTCCACCGCCGTCCCACCACTCCAACCACCAGTTCGCCAGCATGAAGAACAAGTTCTTCAACGAGCTCACACACCTGCCAAGTGAGCACACAGTGATCCACGTCAATCTACTGCATTATCCAATCTCCTCTGCTTCATGTCATACCATCAATAACCATCATTGATCATTTGTTTCATTTTTTTGATTCTGCCTTCTCTCATCTCTGCATGTCACCTCTCCGCTGTGCTCGTCAAGATCATAAACTCAAGAGTAAGTCATCTCACAGCTCTGATTCAGTTTCATAAGTGTCATGTTTTTCTTCTTCTGCCATCACAAGGTAGCATCGCATTTCAAATGTTATTTATTACATCTTATCCTGACTGGAACAGGAAGTATGAATAGACCCTCCAGTAGCTTTAACAATCTTTGTTTAGGCTACTTTGCCAAATGTATGGAGGCCAACGACTGCCAAGAGAAAACAATAAATAAATTAAAAGTTAAATAAATAAATAAGGGGGGGGGGAAAAGTTGAAAACTGTGCGTTTAAAGCAGTAAAAATGTTCTTTGTCACCACAGCAAATGGTATTATTTAATCACCATGTATATGCAATTTGGTTTTAAAAGAAATTGTACAAAAAAACCCCAACAAAAAAGCAGTTTTCCGGACTGGCAAGTGTTGGAGGCCACTGCTTGATGGGTTGGTCACAAACCCAAAGGAACCATCTTAACCATGAAAATAGACAGATTAGATGTAAAATCATGAACACGCACTGTAGATGTGGATTACTTTCGTCACTCTGTGGCTCTGGACTGAGTTACCTTCTGTAGTCTAAGCACACAAGACAACTCATTGGTGGACATGTACTGCAGACAATAGCACCTGATGTCAACGGGACGGGTGGATGAAGGCCGAGATGGTCAGCTTTGCCTCACTTGCCAATAACAGCAGATTAACCGTGAATCCAGGTTTGTAAAGCTATCCAGCAGATGTTGGTGGTGATCCTCCGCTTTCCATCAATGTGGCTCCAGACAAAATCTTCATTATTTTATCATTCTTTGGAAATTCAAACCAGAAGACCAAGCTGTTCGGTAAATTCTGGCATCCAGGGAAGATGCATTTGCCGGATGAAGGCATAACTAGCAAACTGTAGGTTGTAGTCGGTGACGTAACCACTGATGCTGTAGTTTGGTTGTCATGTGATCGTGTTCGGGGAGTCATGCAAAATGTGGCTCCAGTGTATCTTCAAGACAAAATTTCAGGCCCGTGCAAATAATCCTGAACACAAAAATGATGATTAAACATTGATTTCACAATTCAGTACTTCAGCAGTTTACCGTTTTCACATAATTTCAGACACATATAATGTATTTAGAAACAAATCTCTAAATGTCCTTGTTGATGGATGGTAAAGCCTGCAGCCATGACAGTGATTCTGAGACTTAGACCCTTAATTTTGTACCCATTATCGAGACACAGTGTTTTTTTTGAGCCCAACGCTACCACGCTGTTTAGAAGCAGGAGTTCTAACTGCTTTATCATCTCAGGTCTTGTCAGTTCGTCTGCTGACATTTGCTAAGTTGGCACATGGATATTTTTGACCTGATTATGCTCAATACATCAAAGTCGTTACCATCCATCCTCATCCTGAACATTAATGTGTCTTGCAAATGCCACTGTTGGTCATTGCAAATGTCAAAACCACAAATCTTGAGCCCATTGTGACGGTAGAGGAAATGTCACAGGATAACTCAAGACTTTTGGATTCCTCCTCTAGACATTTCCCATCCAATAAATCGTAAATTTAAAAATGGCGACACACAGTTTTGAACGTGATTCTGGAAGTTCTCGCCACTCCCTCCGACATCGTCAACGCTGTTTTCCGAATCACACCTTTCCCCCTTTCTGCAGTGCCCATGTGGGCTGTGGGTGCCATCGTGGTCGTGGTCCTCGCCCTGGTCGCCTGCCTGGGATTCTGCATCTACAAGAAGTGCATCAACAAAGGCAAGAAGCCCAAGAAGGTCCGCGAGAGGAAAGGAGGACGAGGACGCAGGAAGAAGGACAAGGAAGGAGAGGATGGGGACGACAAGAAGGTGAGAAGAAGATGAGGAGGTCTGGTGATGGTAACTCTGCCAAGCTTTGACTTCATCGCCCAATATTGTTTGAAGAGTCTGTATTGCAGGTTGACTGTAGAGAAGTTTAGCAACTTAATAGGGTTTGGAAGGTTTCAGTTTTTCAGCTGGTCTAAGATTCATTTATTGAATTTCCCTTCTGGGATGAATAAAGTATTTTTCATTTTTCATTCATTTCATTTCATTTCATTTCATTCAGAGAAAATCATTTGAAGTTTTGGTATATTGAGGAAAACATCATTTTGACATTTTTGGAAAATGCTCTTCTTTGCCTTCTTACCAAGAGCTACATGAGAAATCCAATGACCATGTTCAATTCAATTCCATTCAGTTCAGTTTTATTTATCTAACGCCAATTCACAACATGGGTCATCTCATAGAACTTAACACTGAAGACCAGAGAACCCAACCAGCCATAGTTGCCTTTGGATTCCCCATGAGTAAGCGGTTTGCGTCAGTTACAAGGGAGGAAAAACAACCTCCAACAAAACCATGCTCAGGGAAGGCAACCATCTGCCTCGACCAGTTGGGGTTAGAGTGGGGATGAAGGGGTGGAGGATAGCAGGACAGCAGGTAAAGAACAAACAAACAGTACAAAGAGAACAATGTTGGAATCAGTCTTCTCATCTGACTCTTGAGAAGAAACCAAACTAAATCAAATGTGTGTCTTCTCCCTCCACACGTCAACAGATGGACTTAGCTGCACAAGAGCGTCACCGTGTTTCCTACGTGATTGTAATCAGTGCTTAGCGGTCCACAGCTGTTTGGCATTTATCCAGGTTGAGACTAGTAATGGCTGAAATCACAGCTTAAACTGACCACAGTGCACCAGGGGAAACATAATGGAAAGGGATGTAAGAGTCAGAGCTGCTGGTCCCTTGGAATTGGATGCAGATCGGAGAAGCTGGTGGTAGCAAGCATCCATGTGGAATGTAGAGTCTCTGGTCAAGAGAGTATAACTGCACACTGATTCCCAACCACAGATGTTTATCTTTATAGTTTTTAAGGTTAGACTGGCTGTCTATTTATCATCTCTGTACATTCATCTTCAGCAGTGGTTAAATGGTTTCCATGGAGAATTTGCAGCTGTTTGTCTTGATGTGCTCAATCCCTAATATTCAAGGTCTAGGAAAACACACTGATTAGCATTTTCTTTTGCACCTTTTCTAACTTTTTTCGATTCCAGGAGAATAAACTTCAAATGAGCGAGGTTAGTTTGTTTGGTGCTGACAACTCTGTGTGTCCTCCAGGAAGGAGAAGAAGGAAAGGAAGAGGAGGAGAAGGAGTCCCTTGGCAAACTGGAGTACTCACTGGACTATAACTTCACTGACAACCAGGTACACACATACACAAACCAGCACTAGTATTCTAAAAAGCTAGCTCACTTTTTTGAGACATGTGAATGCGTCTGACCGACCTTCTGCCCTCCTCCTCCTCCAGCTGATAGTGGGCATCCTCCAGGCTCAGGACCTCCCAGCTATGGACATGGGCGGAACCTCAGACCCCTACGTCAAAGTCTACATGCTGCCGGACAAGAAGAAGAAGTTTGAGACCAAAGTCCAGCGCAAGAACCTCTGCCCAGTCTTCAATGAGACCTTCACCTTTAAGGTTTGCACATGAAGACAGTTTGATCATGTTGTCAGATGCATTTTTAAAAGATTAAACATCAGATTTTCCTCAAAGGTTTTGAAGCGCTACAGTTTAATCCTCTCCTTCTCCAGATACCCTACAGTGAGTTGGGAGGTCAGACTCTGGTGCTCCAAGTCTTTGACTTTGACCGTTTTGGCAAACATGACGTCATCGGCGAAATCAAGATCCCCATGAACAGTATAGACCTCGGACAGCCGATACACGAATGGAAGGATCTGGTTGGAGGAGAAAAAGAGGAGGCAAGTTTTTTTCTTCTGCTTCAAAAAGTTCACCAAAAAAAAAACATCCATTTAGTTACTTCAAACATTTGAGAATGCTTTATAGATATTGTTATGCTCCAAAATGGGAGTTAGGCCTCTTGTTTCTGAGTGAGGATGAGACATTTTTGAAGTACATATGACAGTCAGTGCCAACATTAAAGCAATATATCTAATACTTCATGTATGTTTTCTGATTCTGACAGCAAGAAAAACTGGGTGATATCTGTATCTCCCTTCGATACGTGCCCACGGCCGGCAAACTAACTGTCAACATCATGGAAGCCAAGAATCTGAAGAAGATGGACGTCGGAGGACTGTCAGGTAAATACACACATACTTAAATGCATGCTCATACTAAACACTGAGACCGGCGCTGGATGGCTCTGCTGATCTACTGCCTCTCTCTCAGATCCCTTTGTCAAGGTGGTGCTGCAGCACAACGGCAAGCGACTCAAGAAGAAGAAGACATCAGTCAAACAGAACACTCTGAATCCTTACTTCAATGAGAGCTTTAGCTTCGAGATCCCCTTCTCTCAGATCCAGGTATGAGCGTCTCTCAGTATCACCACTTCCTGTTTATACTGGTGGCTGTGGGTATAAACTTTGATCATTTTTCATTCATTGGAAGGTCGATCCTGCAAATAGAACAACACCACATTAACTACATTTTACTTAAATGTGTTAAAAAAGTAGGTTGCTGTCAACTTTAACATGTGTGTAGTGCGATCAAATAGTTCTGGGGATATTTATGGTGTCTGTGCATAGAGCGTTTGTAGATGTCCATTTCTGATTTGTACATGGACCCAGAATTGAAAACCTGTGACCCTTGCTTATATTAGTTCTTGACTGAAGTTGTAAAAATTTTGCACATTTCCATTTGGGAGCTGTGTTGTTTGTGACAGCTGCAGGTAATAAAGACACAGAAAAGATGTCAGGGTGATGTTTCCAAGTGCTTGTTATGACTTAATGATATGCTTCTGTGTTTCAATTTTAAAAATGTCGATGCAAAGATATAAACCACATAAAACTCAATAGAAACCGTATGAAATCAAAGTTATTATTCCAGTTTGTTTCGACATATAATATCATTACACTGTGTTACCATGCAGTCAATTGCTACCAACCATCACAAACTCAACAGACTCAAGAGTCCTAGAGTCATATCAAAGACTATCTTCATTCAGCTTAGTAATTGGTTAGCTTCACATACTGTCAGGAAAAAACTCCATAACGAATGCATTTAACCCTCTTTTGTCTCCACACACAGAAAGTCCAGGTGCTGATCACTGTCTACGACTACGACAAGCTGGGCAGCAATGACCCCATCGGCAAGTGCTGGATCGGCTACGGCGCCTCGGGCGTCGGGCTGCGACACTGGTCCGACATGTTGGCCAACCCCCGACGTCCGGTGGCCCAGTGGCACACGCTGCTGCCCGAGGAGGAGGTGGACGCTGCTCTGAAGGCGCCCATCCGCTAAACACACTCACATAAACATACACATCATCTGCATAGGAGAGGTTTTTATTTCATTAAACCAAACAACTGTAGTACTTGTAATATTTTTTTGAACATGCATCAGCTACATTCATACAGATGTATACACAGTGCAGATGAAGGCGCAGTGGCTTATTTAGTCACACATTTACAGTGAATGACTGACTAATTAACTGACAACCAAAGCAAAAATTAAAGGGGTACAGTTTAGTATTACACTTCAACAAAGTTGGGAGTCTCACAAGGTAGCATTGTCAGGGTTGATGTTATAGTAACTACAAGCTGAACAGAACTCTTTGTGACATGTTACGTGAACTTGGAAGGTAATCTTGCACAGGGCCCCTTTAATGTTCATCTACCTTTATATGACTGACCTCCACTTATGTAAGCAACATCCTGGTTGTCTCGAGGTTAAAAAGATCTTTTTATTAAGCATCAGCATTCTTAAGTATTAATATATATATAATTTTGATACTGTGGTATGATTAGAAAAAGTTATAATCAGTAGCCTATGTTTCATTCTGTCCGGTTTGTTAGTGTGTCAGAAACCCTGTTGCTTCTCACCTTCTCTGGAATGTTGTACTCCATATTAAAGGTGGACAGAGCCACCATGTTGTCACCCATCGGTTTGCCATTTGGCCATCCTTATCTTTTGAAACGAGGGGTCACTTTTGCTGAGAATTTGCGGACATTACACACACTGATACAGCAGCGACTTGTTGCCTGTTTTATTCAAAATGAGGCCGTAAAACACAAAATCAACATCATGCTGTATTGAAGAAGACTTAAAACTAGTGACTGGAACCAAAACCGTATTAGTAAACTGTTTAGTGAAGTAATACATCAAGCCACAAGTAGGGTAATTTTCTTATAGACTTCTATACAGTCTACAACTGGAGGAGTCGCCCCCTGCTGGCTGTTACAAGAATGCAGGTTTAAGGCACTTTCAGTAGAGCTTGTTTTTTCCAACCCGGAGGTAAAACCCATCTTTTATATACAGTCTGTGCTGCAAACTTGATTTCATAATATTAGTAATACGAGTGTTGTATGACTGAGCTAGCAAACTAATTTCCAACCATACTAATATATGTACGACCATTGGCTGTGCAAACTGTGACAATAACATCTAGTAGGCCCTACAGACTGGGTCGCTGGTTTTATTTCAAAGCGTTCTACAATCAGAATGTTTGAGTTGATACCTGAAATGGTGTTTGCTGTCTGACGATTAAAATGGCCTTGAGCTTAATTGATACTTCTATGAACACTGTGAAAAGGGCCGATGGAAGTCATGGCAACAAACCCAAATATTAAAGAATCTGAGGGACATATGTTTAGTAACTGCAGAAATGAAAAAAGATAATAACTTGAAGGGATACTGACATGGATTTCCAATATGATGGGCTACCAAAAACTAGCTTATGAAGCCTGATGCCTTCAGTTGTCTCTAAAGAGGGTGTCCCTGATATTTTGTCCACTCAAAAGTCAATCTTTTCTCTTTGAGTAACACTAAAATACTGTTGCTGAGCTTAAGTGTGTATCTTCTGCTATAGTTCCTCTTGTTCACCCTGACGTCGCTCATCTCCCAAACAACCTTCACTCTTCCGATGAAATTTGTTGTCTCTAGTTGTATGTTTTTATCATTTCTGTCTCCTTGTGGCTCCTTCTGTGTGTGTGAGGATGTGTGTGGTGAGTACTGATGTGTGTGTGTGTGTGTGTGTGTGTCTATCGTGACAAATGGAAAGCTGTTTGTGATTTCACTTTCGATGCATATCATGTGATTGTAAATAAATAGCTGAATAAATAAAACGTTTCCAGACAACAACAGATGGTGTGGATGGATGGATGGATTTACGTGCGCTGTAATACCCCGACATATAATGTCATTTGCACACAAGCAGAAAGTCTCACACACACACAGTCATGTAAATGTATCCTTTAGAGTCATTTAAAGACGCCGCAGTGTTTTAAAAATTCCATTTGAACCATAAACTATTTATGATATATCATGCTTCAGGATGGGATTATTCCTCTAATACAATCAGGGGTATTATTCTCGTCGTGATCAGAACAAACTGAACCTTTTACAGTAATTTCCTGAGGGGAACTAATCCATCACCCGGTGATTATTGTTGCCATTTGTTCCACTAATCCAATTATGAATGCCGAGGACTTTTCTGGACAAACTCTCGTCTTTACCTTCCAAAGTCGGGAGTAGCCGTCGCTGATAAATTTGATTTCCGTGAGGTCAGCGTGCACGTTAGTGTTAGTCTGTGTGTGTGTCCTGGTTCAGTGTGGCGAGTGAAAGACCGGATTAACGGCGTGTCCTCTTTAGTCCTTGTCTCACGCAGCGAGCCAAACATGTGAGGCAGGAATTAGAGAGGTGGGGAGGGTGTGGTGACGGTAAAGAAGAGTAAAGACGGAGAACAGCAGTCGGTGTTCGCAGCACAGATAATAACTGCTACAGTAAAAAAATCAATTTAAAAAAAAGTTAAAAACCAAGAAGTTTTACAGTGGGATACGTTTTCTTTTCACTTGTTTGTTTAGATTATTTAAAAAAAAAAATTTCTCCATAAACAGCAGGTAGCGCTGATTGGTTTTATAAGAATGTAGGCTGATTGAAGTATTGTCCATATCGTGCTGCATTTATTCACTTGTAGATAACCAACATCAGACGAAAAGACTTGCTGATAAAAAAAATCTGCTTTTTTGCAAACTCAGCTGCATTTAAAGTTGTTTGCATTACGATTTTAAAGTAACACAATCTGGCTCACAAAACTACTTTTTCTTGTGTAAAGTTGAAAGATAAATCCAACTAAAAACGCACCACTGGAAAAAATCCTACGAACAGAAGTGTCATCATCATATAATTAGTGAGTCAAAAATAATGACTAGTGGTGTATTGTTAGCCCTGCACTCTGTGGTAACCCAGTGATTTTTTTAGTGTGTACAATCCTTGTGACCCAGCTGAGAGGCTTCTGGTTTCATCAGGGTGTAACGCCAGTATTTAGCCACCAGCGGGAGCCATGTGCTTTGATTTAAGGCTGACATCGACAACACTACAGGCACTGTAACTTAGTTTAAACTCTAACGATGTACACCTCCTCTTTATTTTAAACCACAGCAATCCAAAGACACCTTTCACCCTGGTGACAGCTACATTCATACAAATAAAGATGTCATTTCTATCTATGAGTCAATTATCTTCCACATATTGCAAAATATTGTATATAAAACAGTATAGTAACCTATAATACTGAGATCCATCCATCCACAATCTATACACTGCTTAATCCTCACTCGGGTCATGGGGGGCTGGAGTCTATCCCAGCTGACTCAGGGTGAAGGCAGGTTCACCTGGACAGGTCACCAGTCTATCACAGGGCTACACTTAGAGACAGACAACCAAGCACACTCACATTCACACCTACAGACAATTTAGAATCACCAGTTAACCTCAACATGTTTCTGGACTGTGGGAGGAAGCCGGACAACCCGGAGAGAACCCACACTGCACGGGGAGAACATGGAGACTCCACACAGAAAGATCCCGGGTGTCCGCAAACCAGCGACCTTCTTGCAGCGAGGTGACGGTGCTAACCACTGCTCCACCTTGCAGCTGTAATACTGAGACATGTTTTTAAAATTATGTAACAAAGATCTAAATCACCTCACGCAGGTCACGTCGTCGACTCTGCATGTTTTTGTTTTCCAACGCTCATTCCATCGCGTTTCTGTTATCATCTGGCATCTTGCTCTGTCAATGAAGGATGCAACCTGAGATGAACGCTGATCAACCTGATAACCACAGCATCTATCCGCTAAAGCTACATGCTCATGGCGGCTCTTATGTAACATTCCAGATGAACTATTGTGCAGATGTTGACATCTGCCTGAGCGTGAACACCACGATGTGTGGAGATGCACTGGAGCACAGAATAACCTGCAGACGGAGGTTCCTGCAGATATGATGGCAGGTTGCACAACACTCGCGTGTCTGGTTCAGGCACGTAAGCATCAGTCAGTAAAAAGCTATTTGAGGATACACCTATATCCAGACTTGCTTAGTCAGATGCAAATACAACAGATTTTGTTTCTGCAGTCTTACTTATCCTGGTGTGGCCATTAGTGACTATTGTTACAGTTTAGTGCATCGTCCAAGAGTGGTTTTATTACAAAGGAAAACCAGATCAGCACCTTTCCAGGAGACATTTTTGTTGCTTCCTGCTTTTAGCACCCTTATGCTCACTTCTAATCTGAATCAGAATCCTGAAATGTCATTGTACCAAAAAAAGCACATGAAATTTGGTGCAATCCCGTTCAGTGCAAAGAACAACTATAAATTAACAAACTGTGCAAAATAAAAACAAGACACCGAGACAAACAAGACGCTTGTAGAGCCTATAGGTATATATAAAAAATAAATAAGTGACAATAGGTATAAAATGGATATAAAAATGTGAGTGTTTAAGACAGCAGCGAGCAACAAAGGTACCTGAGAAAACACTTGTCAGTGGATTCACAGGAACGGTGGTGTAAATGGAACGTATCAGTGTTTGTGGGAGTTCAGAGTGGTTATGGCTCTGGGGGGAAAAAAATGCTTTTTAGTCTGTTGGTTTTTGTCCTGATGCAGCTGTAGCGCCTGGCCGAGGGCAACAGGTCAAACATATGGGACCCAAGCTGTCCTTGATGATGTTTCTTGCCCTACTGAGGCAGTGGGAGGTAAATGTCCATTAGTGAGGGGAGAGGGCAACCAATGATCTTCTGTGCTGCTTTGATTACACAGTGATAAAACCATTTAACCTACAACAACTATGGTCAACTTCAGGCGGCAGACACAAAGTGTAATCAAAACACTGCAATCATTCATCTGGAGTCGTGTTTGTTGGCCCTTAACACATACAAGTCCATTACCGTCTCCCTTCTAGCTCTGTTTTTGGTCTCAACCAACTTACTGAGAGAAATTAACTGAGAGAAATGCCTGGA